AAGTTGGCGCAGAAGTTGTCGGTGCGCGTGTTAAAAAAGACGTTTTTGCTCCTAACGTCGTACGTAGGGTCATAACTTCGAGAATTATGATTCGATGATAATAGGCAAGCGTCTGTCTTGAGATACCGTAAAAGCGAGAACCTTTGCTGAATTTAGCCTCTTTCAACATGTCAGCGCATCTCGCATGTTGTCTTCAGGTCATAACTGATGGTTTCCCTCCTTGCCCGTGGCCAAGCTTAACCCTCGCCGGCGCAGGCCATTTTGAGTCCTTCGACGGCACAAGGTACGACCCCCCTCGCCTTTGGCCCCTGATGGAGCTAGAGCTTCGCGGAAAAGCGAGCGTGTTGCCCGTCACGAGAGGAAGCCAATGATACCCAATTTTAAGGTCCTAGGTCATCGGTTGACCTTCCAGGTCAGGTCAATTACCCAAAAAATCGGGAATATCGGGACCTGTTAGAAAGTCGTAAAGCGTGGCTGCTAAGGGGTTTCCCGGGGTGCTGATCACGAATATCGTGCTAGTTTTGATCACAGATGATGTCGTTAAGCGTTTAGACCAGGTCGGGTCAGGTCAGGTCAGGTCAGGTCAACCGGTAGGGGTCGTGACGGGTAATCGTAGTACCTGTCATCCGCCTCTGACAGCTTCGTAACATGTTACGAAGGCACCAAAACTACTTCGTAAATGTTCAAACGGTTGCTAAATTCGAATTCAGCAAAAACTAGCCTGGAAACATGTAAAACTCGAAAAAAGTGAACCGATGTCACCAAGGGTCAATGACCTGACCTGACCTTCAGGTGACCTTGACACCCACCCTAATGCATGGGAGCAACATCAAATCACATGTTTGAACGTTTGAAACCACGAACAGCTTGCAAACGCGCGGCTAATGCGACCCGACATACGCCGTATCGCGATTTCGGCCAAATATGGTCACGGAAAAGAGGTCACAGGTCAAAGGTCATTTGGGTCAGGGTCATGAAATTTTCAATGTAGGACGTAGGTGCAAAACTGATCATCAATGCGAGGGTACTAAACGTTTCGTTGCGATCGGCCGCTTTTTACGCGAGTTATTCGCGAAAAACCTTGGGGGGTTGCATCAACCCCCCTGTGCTGGCGAGGGTTAAAATCGCAGTGGGAAGCGTAAAGGCAAATATCTGACGAATATCTGCGTAAAGGCAAATACCTGACGTTGGAAACTATATATCTTTTAGGGAAGAGGATAAAAAGAACCTGGGTGTCTTTTCAGGAAATGCTTGCCTTACTTTTTCATCACGAAGTTAGGGTTCACGAAGTTGAGAACCTGGACAATATTTTTTCATTTGGCAGCATTACAAAGGTTCAGGGAAAGGGAGATAAAAAGGTCATCCACTGACATACATGACATACATAGACCTAGCAAACCAAGCACCACTTCTTAATCATCAATTCGGTAATATAGTACTCAGCTTTCGTTGAAATTAAATAAAAACTCAGCATATATCGGACGTTTCGTGTTCGGTTTAACACTTCATCGGCGATACTGGCGCGGCAATTCTGTGCCGCGCTCAGTTAAAAGGATAGTAATATAGTACTCAGCTTTCGTTGAAATTAAATAAAAACTCAGCATATATCGGACGTTTCGTGTTCGGTTTAACACTTCATCGGCGATACTGGCGCGGCAATTCTGTGCCGCGCTCAGTTAAAAGGATAGTAATATAGTACTCAGCTTTCGTTGAAATTAAATAAAAACTCAGCATATATCGGACGTTTCGTGTTCGGTTTAACACTTCATCGGCGATACTGGCGCGGCAATTCTGTGCCGCGCTCAGTTAAAAGGATAGTAATATAGTACTCAGCTTTCGTTGAAATTAAATAAAAACTCAGCATATATCGGACGTTTCGTGTTCGGTTTAACACTTCATCGGCGATACTGGCGCGGCAATTCTGTGCCGCGCTCAGTTAAAAGGATAGTAATATAGTACTCAGCTTTCGTTGAAATTAAATAAAAACTCAGCATATATCGGACGTTTCGTGTTCGGTTTAACACTTCATCGGCGATACTGGCGCGGCAATTCTGTGCCGCGCTCAGTTAAAAGGATAGTAATATAGTACTCAGCTTTCGTTGAAATTAAATAAAAACTCAGCATATATCGGACGTTTCGTGTTCGGTTTAACACTTCATCGGCGATACTGGCGCGGCAATTCTGTGCCGCGCTCAGTTAAAAGGATAGTAATATAGTACTCAGCTTTCGTTGAAATTAAATAAAAACTCAGCATATATCGGACGTTTCGTGTTCGGTTTAACACTTCATCGGCGATACTGGCGCGGCAATTCTGTGCCGCGCTCAGTTAAAAGGATAGTAATATAGTACTCAGCTTTCGTTGAAATTAAATAAAAACTCAGCATATATCGGACGTTTCGTGTTCGGTTTAACACTTCATCGGCGATACTGGCGCGGCAATTCTGTGCCGCGCTCAGTTAAAAGGATAGTAATATAGTACTCAGCTTTCGTTGAAATTAAATAAAAACTCAGCATATATCGGACGTTTCGTGTTCGGTTTAACACTTCATCGGCGATACTGGCGCGGCAATTCTGTGCCGCGCTCAGTTAAAAGGATAGTAATATAGTACTCAGCTTTCGTTGAAATTAAATAAAAACTCAGCATATATCGGACGTTTCGTGTTCGGTTTAACACTTCATCGGCGATACTGGCGCGGCAATTCTGTGCCGCGCTCAGTTAAAAGGATAGTAATATAGTACTCAGCTTTCGTTGAAATTAAATAAAAACTCAGCATATATCGGACGTTTCGTGTTCGGTTTAACACTTCATCGGCGATACTGGCGCGGCAATTCTGTGCCGCGCTCAGTTAAAAGGATAGTAATATAGTACTCAGCTTTCGTTGAAATTAAATAAAAACTCAGCATATATCGGACGTTTCGTGTTCGGTTTAACACTTCATCGGCGATACTGGCGCGGCAATTCTGTGCCGCGCTCAGTTAAAAGGATAGTAATATAGTACTCAGCTTTCGTTGAAATTAAATAAAAACTCCGATATATGCTGAGTTTTTATCAATTCGGTAATATAAGTAAGGTACGCTGGTTTAAATCAACCCAGAAAAAAGAGGAATTGAGCCTGAAAAATACATTTTAGTTTATACATATAAACCGGAGGAGGGACAACTGCTTATCAAAAAGTCACTCCGCCTACTGCCCGAGCCCCACAGGATGGGATGGTTGACAGCGCTGAAAGTTTTCAGATTTCTGAGAAATTGCGAATCACGAAGTTAAGGATTTCACGGAATTACCTCTCCTTACCCCTACTGAGTCATCATCGAGTGAAGACGAGGCACGAGCAAATTTCTACCAATTCTAATAAAAATTATGTTAATGGAAAAATGTCATAAAAGACATTCCCGCTTACTGCTTAGGCTTTTCTTTCCATCTATCCTGAATTACTATTTACTTTCCTTCATATTTCAAAACATGGTTTTCAAAGCACATAACCTCACTACATAGTATACATCAGGGTTGTGCTCGACTAAAAAAAAATCTGCCGACTAGACTCATCATTCAACTTCAGAAAGCCCTGACACAACTCTGACTCAAACAAGGAGCTGATTTTTTCCCTTGACTCGACTCATGACTCAAGCGGCTCAATGAAAATATGAGTTGACTCAAACTTGACTCAATTTTTTTGTTGAGTCAAGTGTGTTGACTCAAAATTGACTCAGATAAAAAAGTTGTTGAGCGGGGGGGGGGTGAAAAAAAATCCGGGCTATGCCAGACGGTCGTTGGTGTTAGCTGCAGGTAGTCAGCCGGCTCAGTATGGAAAACAATGGGTGGGACATGGTCATTGGTCGGTGTCCTGAAAATCTGGCTTCCAGGGATTATCCGGCTCCCGCCTCGCGAAATATGTATTCCGGCTCCGGCTGCGAATAATTGCTCAGCACCGGCAGCTCTAAACAAATGTACTGTTTCACGCAAAACAGCTCTGCCTCCATAAGCTCTCATACATCTTACAATTGGCCATACTTAATGTGGCTGAGTAAGATAATTTCCGTCAATAGAGCCCACATATAACCCATATTCAGCCCGCAGATTCATCTCAACTTCGAGACTTCCCGGATGGCCGTGAAACTCGCACGACACAGATCTCTTGGGGTAAGAAATATGTTCCCTCAACCATTCGGCGGCACTCCCATCAGTTTGAAATAGAGGGTTAACAAATGACGGGACTTGCGCAGCAGATTGTGCCCCACTCAGCAAAGCCAGAGTGCTGAGCATGACACTAAACGGCTTTCACAATTTAAACCATTAAGGTCAAGCGTTGACCTGAGGTCATTATGGTCACTTCGGAAAATTTATACAGCAATTTTTGGATGTACGGGTAGGAATAATTGTGATGTAATACATGCACAACTTTGGTTACCTATGTATGTATGCATAGACTGTATTTATTACCAATACAAAATCAAGATCAATAAAAAATGCAGGCTAAAGGCCATGAAAGAGCAGCTAATGAAGGTTACACTTTAAAATATCTAAGGCTGCCCCGGTCTCCCCTACTCTTGCAGCATTTTATTGGTCAAATAGCGTTTTGAAGTTGCCCTATATTCATCGTTTGCAGCCTGCAGATATAGTAGGTATAACTATACATAGACCTTATTCTGGTCTCAGCTCAGTAACAAAACAAGTGACAACTCGGATCGACTTGGAACTCACACAAGACAGAACTCATGGAGTAAAGAATATTGTGGTATATACAAACCATTCGACGGCGCTCCCAGCATGGAACTTGACCTATAGAGGTCAGCAGATGTTACGGTCCCAGATTTACGTAGCCAGTTGTGGCCCAGCCAGCAAAGCTAGGGTGCTACTGCTAGACTTGTCATCAAGTGACTGGTCATGACCTACAATAAGTAGAGTTAGAGTTAATGCCTACTAAGAGGCTCTCTTGGCTGACTCATCTGATTCAGTGACAAATCGACAACCAACAGCGCCAACGGCACGCAGCACTCACCCATGACCACGTCGACGAGGCTGGCCTCCTGTTCCATGACTCTGAGCGTCCCCTCCTCTCTGCTGGCTGCTCGGGCAGGTCAGTCGCCCGGGTGGCCTCCTACGCTGCGGCCGTCCCAGGCACAAGTGGCCGGGGTCAGTGGCGCGACCCCGCCCCGCCCCGACCCCGACGCCCCTCCCCCCTCTCCCCGCTCCACCCATCATCATCGGGGCGTGCATGATTTACCTGCAGTGGGCCCGGGGGCGCCGGGACCGGCGGCGGCCCCGTGCATAAGGCATCTGGACGAAATGGCGACCATCGACCAGAGATCGACGGGTGTGAATCGTCACCCGTCAAAAGCGATTGACCTGAGGGCTGTCGTCCTAACTGCTGCTACTCAAAGCAAGGTCGTAACATTGGCTCCCTTACGGGTCACTGCGAGCGGCGAGCTACTGGTATCTCGTCATGCTGAAGTTTTGTTTTTACGGAATAGCTATCGTTTATTCACATCCTTTGCCCTATATACCAGGATACCGCGCCTTATACATTGCATCATTTGCTTTTTTTGCAGTTATCTTTTACAATGACGCTGCCGGAGACATTATGCCGAACACAACTGGAGTATTTTCGTGTTTCCCGGCCAATCAGGAATGGTGTGAATCGGAGCCATTTCGTGTAACTATAGCTGCTACTTGGCAATCGAGGTCGCCCAAGCGACAAGGATGGGCAGTGCGCACAATGGGCCTCTATGGGTCATTAGGGTAAAAGTGCTTGAGAACTGGCGGTCCATGGTTTAGAGCTGCGCTAAACGAGCAGAGGGCCAATCAAGAATGCACTGCTGAAGGCCTAAAACGTGAATAAGAGCTGATTACTCGATTTCAGAGTTGGTGCTCGATTCTGTCACGTAACCAATTCACGCGTATTACAGATGCATGGGTCGTGAATGGTCCGGTGAATTTTCTGGAAGGTCAGACGTGCTCCGATCGACAGGGCGGGGGACGGTCGGGCATGCGAGCCTGTTGACCGGCTCTGGACAGTGCGGTGGGCATTAAAGCCGCATAGCCGCTGTCACGCACCGTCGCTGAGCGCGCACGGCCACGGTCGCTCCGTCACTGCCGATAGCCATTATTCAGCCGCCCCCAATGGCCTCAGCGAGACAGGGAGAGGAAGGGACGGCCACGCTCTGACCTGGTGGACACACTGTGCGCTGTCATCTCCCTACGGTGTGCTCTACTCGCCTGAAAGACGCAGAGGTCGTCACAGTGGTCGCCAGGAGCTGGAAACTGGGGATCGATAGATATCTATCCGACAGCACTGTGTTCTCAAGTCTCTAAGTACAGCGAAATGGTCGACACTACCGAACAGATGGCGGCTCAAACAGTGTCCGTTCGACCGAACTGACTGACAATCACCCGCGCGGGCTGGGCCTGGCTGCACAAGGGGCACACTCACATTGTTCAGTGGACATGGGATTCGATCATGCCGGGCGTGATCAATATAATTCCCTAATGCCTTTGTATTGTCGGTATGTACCATCAAGCCTGACCGAGGAAGGGCCTGCTATAGTTTGAAAGTCACCGAACCAATTGACCTGGGGAATGGACGAGGATTTCAATTGCTTCGGTGACTCAAATTTAGCAGGCCCTTCCTCGGTCAGGCTTGATGGATCCACCGTCACTTTGCGCGGTACTTTTAAGAGAGACTGTACAGTGTACAGTTAACTATAACTGATGATGTTCCATCTCTTACAGGCAATTAGTTGGTGGTATGGTAGGCTGTGCCGCATCACATGTGTTAAATGACAACTTGTTACTGTGACCCCACGCAAAGATGACACGCCTATTTGCGTGATTAACGGCACCACCAAGCCTTACTGTCTAAAGCTCTTTTGTGAAGGGTGGAACATCATTCTGTACGGTCACGATGCGTGCGTGACATATTGAACACGTGTGAAATATATTCACTTAACCCGCGCGGGGCTGGGGTCTCCAGCCGAACGCGCGGGGCTGGGGGGGGGGGGGTAAATTTTACCCCCCCCCCCCCCTGTTATCTCCCGAACTAATGGTCCGATTTGGAAAATTCAAACGCCAATCGAAAGCTCTCATCACGAACTACTAAAAACATGTACTTAATTTAAAGTTTGAGGTCAAGGTCAAGGTCAGGTCAAGGGTACAAATTGCAAGTTTCTACAGTATCGGCCTTGCACCGTAGTTGCCGAAGAATGGAGTCATGGACTGAGACTGATCGCCCAAAACGTGTTCTTAGGCTACCAAGACAATATCCGTTGCATACAATATCATTCAGAGGTCAAGGTCAAGATCAGGTCAGGTCAGGTCAGGTCACCAAAAAACAAAATATAGAAAAGGGCATGTGCGACACATGTTTTATGGGTCATTTTACTCATAGAATTCAATAGGCACACTCAATAAGTGATATGGACCACCTCTGGATGAATTTCAGGTCGAGGTCAGGTCAAGGTCAGGTCAAGTGAGGTCAAATTTTGAAGTTGGTTGTTAAGGCCTAAAAAGGTGTCTATCTGATGCAGTTTTTCACGGCGAATCGAATGGTGCTATTTTCGTTTCCGTACGAGGTCTAGAACTTTCAAAAAAGTCATTTTTCAAAAAATTTGTGTGTCGTGACGTCATAAAATTTTGAATAACTCCCACATTTTTGAACCGATTCTTCTAAAATTTGGCATGTAGATGCACATAGACCACTTCTCTGACATATATTCCGGTTTTTTCGATAGACTCAAAATTTTGGATTTTATAATGATTTTCCCAATAAAGTCAGTTTTTTTGAAAAAATTTAGGCCAAGATCCAAAATTTTCAAAAAACCGAGATAGCCATTTGATAGACAAAGTAAAATTACGTATAACCTTTTTTTGTTACGTCTTGATTCCTTTAAAAATGAAGATGTTAGCGGCGTTTGAACTTTTGCCGTTTTTGAGGCAAAAATGGCGAACATGACGTCACTAAAACGTCAATTTCTCAAAAAGTTTCCGACGGATTTCGCTCAAATTTTCAGGGAACGTGTCAAATTGATGTAAGAAAAGGTACTGAAAGTTTGGCGGCGCTGCGCGCCGCCGTTTTTGAGATATCGCAAAAATTCGCGAGGGGGGTAAAATTTACCCCCCCAGCCCCGCGCGGGTTAACAGCGGGGCTGTGGGTCAATGGGTTTTCCCGATAACTCAGATTTCGACTCCGACTCCGGGCATAACTGTCAACTCCGACTGACTCTCGCTTCAACTCCGACTCCCCAGCCCTGGCAGGTCTGCGGAGTCGGTGTATTTTTGGCGACTCCGACTCCGTTTCCGATTTCGACTCCGACTCGGCAGCCCTACTTTACAGTGTGCTGTATTCATTGTCTTGTCGAATGCACAAAACTGTTGGCCTGAAAGCATGGTGGCATCTGCATTCTGCACTTCTTGCAGATCGTTCAGCATGGCTCCTTTCTACTGCAAATCTGTCAAGAAGCGGGGACTCGCAGCTCGAAGTCAGTCTATTCTACCCCGGCAAATTTCAAAACTTGCGAGGTCGATAATGCTGGCCCGCACCCTGCTTCTGGATTCGCATACCCTACTGAGGGGAATGTCTGAATACCCCCGTCAAATTCCGTCCCTGAACCAAGTAGCGACTAGCGACACATGCGAGCATGCACAGTAAATGCGGCGTTCGAAAGGAACTGTACGTCTTATAGAAATGGCTGCTGCTTATATTACCGAACCACTATCCAAGCTCTTAATACCCAACCCAGTGGAAAAAGGCGACAGTGAAGCCAATTTTCAAAGGGAGGGGTTCTCCGTCTGAAGTTGTATCGTATTTGTCAATTACCCTTCTTATACCGTGCCTACCAAAGATCTAAAAAAACAACAACTGATGTTTGCTCTGATATGCGACCACATATAGCACCTCGGACCTCAGTCATTTTTGGGCCAGGTTGAAAGTCAGATCACAAGAGTCGTCGTTATAAAAGGTCAAATTCAGTCGATTTCGTCACTTTTTTGAAAATCGGACTCTTAACTGAATTGGACATACAAAACTGTGAAAACGATTTTTATAGTTTTTAAGAAGCCCTTTTGCTGGCGTGTCCTCAGTTTTGACCTTTAACACGCGCGGGGCTGGGGGGTAAATTTTACCCCCCTCGCGAATTTTTGCAATATCTCAAAAACGGCGGCGCGCAGCGCCGCCAAACTTTCAGTACCTTTTCTTACATCAATTTGACACGTTCTCTGAAAATTTGAGCGAAATCTGTTGGAAATTTTTTTGAGAAATTGACGTTTTAGTGACGTCATGTTCGCCATTTTCGCCTCAAAAACGGCAAAATTTCAAACGCCGCTAACATCTTCATTTTTAAAGGAATCAAGACGTAACAAAAATATTATACGTAATTCTACTTTGTCTATCAAATGGCCATCTCGGTTTCTTGAAAATTTTGGATTTTGGCCCATTTTCTTTCTAAAAAAAACTGACTTTTTGGGAAAAATAATTATTAAATCCAAAATTTTGGGTGTATCGAAAAAGCCGGAATATATGTCAGAGAAGTGGTCTATGTGCACCTACATACCAAGTTTTAAAAGAATCGGTTCAAAAATGTGGGAGTTATTCAAAATTTTATGACGTCACGACACAATTTTTTGTAAAAAAAAATGATTTTTTTGGAAGTTCTAGACCTCGTACAGAAACAAAAATAGCACCATTCGACTCGCCGTGAAAACTGCATCAGATAGACACCTTTTTAGGCCTTAACAACCAACTTCAAAATTTGACCTCCCTTGACCTGACCTTGACCTGACCTCGACCTGAAATTCATCCAGAGGTGGTCCATATCTTTTATTGAGTGTGCCTATTGAATTATATGCGTAAAATGACCCATAAAACATGTGTCGCACATGCCCTTTTCTATATTTTGTTTTTGGTGACCTGACCTGACCTGACCTGACCTTGACTTTGACCTCTGAATGATATTGTATGCAACGAATATTGTCTTGGTAGCCTAAGAACACGTTTTGGGCAATCAGTCTCAGTCCATGACTCCATTCTTCGGCAACTACGGTGCAAGGCCGATACTGTAGGAACTTGCAATTTGTACCCTTGACCTGACCTTGACCTTGACCTCAAACTTTAAATGAAGTACATGTT